CTTGCACTGAAAGCTTTCCTTGCATGGCTGCATCCGCCCACATACCGGGCTTCTGCAGCCCAGTGCCTTTGGCTGGAGGTTACATTAGACATCTACTTTCCATTAGGGTTAGCCACAAGTGCCAGGATGGGAGGAGGCAACAAAAATCAAAGGAACCAGCTAATTCTCAAGAGAGACCCGTCTGACCCAAGCAAAAGAGACTGCGGAACTCATGTGATCCGATCCCCTCCAGTACCCCCAGACAGGAGGTCCTGTCTCAATTCTTCCAGACGAATGGGTTTCTCATGAATCATTTGTCCCGAAAGAACTGCAGAAATAAACTTCAAGATAAAGTCCAGAGCAAGGAGTACAGAATCCCATCACAAAGACTAGGGAGGTTTTCTTAACAAACAGTCCCAGATGGTACATCTAGAAGGATTCCCTTGCTTCACTGTCCTCTTCCCTCTGAACCCCTCAGCTTCTTTACTTAAAGACCTGAGCTCCACCCCATTCCAGGAAACTCCTGTCCTGCTGTTCTGGGAGTTTGCTCTGATAGGAGATATCAATTTTCAGATCACCAGAAAGCAAAATGCTAAGGGCGTTATGAGTCTAAAGAGTAATTACAACTTACACGGCAGAGTTCCCATCTCTGGAGAAATCTCCAGGTGAGAATCAAAGGACCGGCCCTGGGAACACCAGCTCATTGCTCTGAACCTATAAGGACATGAGATACTGCATAATTTTAGGTTCCCCCTAAGAGGCTATCTTAACTATCTTGATTTGCAAGGCTTGGGAACCAACGAGAAGGTAGGAAGTCACATTCTGCAATGTCAGGGCTGTTAAACTGTCAAAGTCCTAGTATGTATTATAATGTTCTCTAGTTCATGGACACTTCGCTGCATCCTGATCCACCCCACAAACTCAGTGATAGCTGAAGCACACCGACATGCAGAGAGGGTTGAAAACACTCATCCGAAGCTCTTGTTGTGTGCCCTGGGCATGGAGAGACAGGTCTGTGTTCTCAGGTTCCTCAGAAAAACTGGGTTCAACTGGGTGGAGAGCTACACACCCTGAATGCTTCTAGTGCAAAAGGTATGTCTCTAATCAGGTTTCTAAGGAGGTCTTTGGACTGGGGCATACTTGTGACCACATGCTCTCACTGACTTGTGTCAAAGGCCTTGGCACTGTCCTTCCAACTGCAACTAAACATTTCCTAGAATTACAGCATACCCTGCACGTGTGAGTAGCAGGGTAGCAGGGTGGGCCTTCTATAACCTGTGAAAAGAAGGATATCCTTGTCAGCTTGAAATAGAACCAGACTTTTCTGATCTCTACTGCTGCTCCCAACTGGGACTCCATGGGACATGGGTGCAGAATAGAGAAGCCAAATGATGTTGGGATGAGTCAGTATCTTAGAAAAGGTAGCTTGCCTGCTTGCTTGGTTGTTTTTTTCCAGAAAGGGGACTCAGAGGGATAAGTCAGAGGAGAGTACCCCATGGGGGAAGATGAAAGATGTTTTGCTCCTTAGCCCTGAGTAGCAAAGTGATAAAGGGAAACCAGACAACAGGCCATAAGCAGTAAAGAACCAAGACTTGATGGGGTAGTCATAATCCAGTGGTTGGAAGACCACAGTGAGAGACATTCACGTGCCTGGAGTATATTCCTAAGTGACACTGATACTGTCGTGATGAAGAAAACCCTTGGCAAATGACAGAGTAATAACTTCTCTCTACCCATATGACACATATCGTGACACTGGAGGAGACATTGCCTTGACGTTCACTGAAACCTCTGGATAAATGTGTTCTAGAAGTCCAAGAAAATAACAGCATCACAAGTGGAAATACTCTCTTTTGGCATGAAAGGAAAACTGGATAGGGTTACTGACATCTCAAAGTAATTCTTCACTTTGCTAAAGAGGCTCTCTCTGGTGCATATAAATGATGGTTTGTTTGCCATATAGCCTTACCAAGCTTGTGCAGAAAGTAAGATGCTACCTAAAGTTTTCTTCCTGGCAAGCACATAAATGTTCATTACACATAAATACAAGGTTACATGGTGAGATTGATGTTAAGTATAACCATAATAAGATATGGTCCAGAGACATCCTGCTTCTTGCTAATAGCAGTCCCAAGACCCGATGCAGTCTGTCTGTGGATTCCATTCACAAAGGCAGGCAGGAAATTTAGGATTCTCTTTAAGCTGAACCCTTCACTCAAACCCCTGTCAAAAAACCTTTATCCAGCCTCAGACCTCCGCATGCATTCTCCCCACCCCTATTATCTATACACAGACCCATGCATCGTCCCTCCTTCCAACGTGCATGAAACCCAGAAACACTTGACACGCTGAAGTCCAGTTCCACCTCTGCCTAGGATGGACGCCACAACAGGAAGACTTGCTCTCATGCCCCCGTCCCCGATTTTCCATGCCTATCCCCATTCCCAATGACAACGACACATGGAGAAGCGGAATTTGCTGTCCCTTCATGCACAATCAGCAAAGACTGGACAACCACCCCAACATATCTACTGCTCCTGATCCAGCCATGCAAATAAGCCCATTCGCAGGACCTTGGGGGATAACCTAGGAAGTCCTCCCTTTCCTTTCTTTCTCCCACTTCCTGCCAACCAGTATCTTTGGGTGAATGCAGAGACTAACTGATAGAGGCAGGATTTCAGATTTGGCTCAATGTAGGCTTAAATCCTGGCTCCACTGTTTTCCAGTGTTGTGTTTAAACGTCAGTGTTCTCATCCTTAAAGTGGCACTATGATAAATATTCATGGGAACAGTATAGATTAAATAAATCAGCCTCTTTAAAGTCCCTATCCAAGTGTTTGGTGTAGGTGCTCATCAAAGATAAGCTGCCATCCCAAACCACCCCTGAGGACACCAGGTGGAAGAAGAAAAGCCCTTAAGATGTCCTGAATGGCTAGTGCATGTCAAAGACTGAGGGGCATTCTATAAGATGCCCTCCCAAGTGGAGAAGCCCACAGCCTTACTCACTTTGACAATGTCTTAGTCATGTCAGCCAGAGGTGAAACCTAACTACTGAGCAGACAAGGTATGCTTCCAATGCCATGGCCGCCTTCTCCCTTCTCAATTTTTGTAATTCTGAGGTTTGTATTTCTTGCTTTGGAGTCATAGTGTCTAGACCTGACTTGTTTCAGATAAATTTTATCCAAGCCGTGAAAGCCCTCTTTGGCTAAATTAAGTCAACTATATAACTTAAGGTATGTTATATGCCTTAGGCTACTCAAATGCTTTGGCCTCCCTGTCTAAAATTGTGCATGTGTGCGCGCACACACACACACACACACGTACATACACAACTATCACCACCACCAGTAGTACCACCAAACACTTCCTTTTTCTTTCTCTGTTTTATTTTTCTTCAAAGGATCTATTATTCTTTTACATATAATATATTCTACTTTATCTTTATTTTCTATTTCCTTTATTAAGGGCAGAGATTTTTTTTTCCTGTTTTTATCACAGTTGTATCCCCCAGCCCAGAGAATAGCTCATGATATATGGACAGTGTCCTAATTTACCAGGGAAGGTAACAGTTTATGCCTGTGGTGTCAATTTAATTATTAATAGCTTCCCTTTTCAGTCTCAGAGGTGTCCAGGTTTAGACAAATATACAAAGTTGATTAATAATAAGTAGTTGTTGAATTTAATTAATAAATTTGACCAATTTGATACTTTAATTAAAGTCATCAACTCCTCAAACCAAGAGTTTTACCCCGAGGTGAATGAATTACATATGATGTTAAAAGCATGAGAAGAGATTGATTAATCTCTTATAATGGCCCTGCTTTCAAAATTCTCACAAGGCTAGCAAACATGGTCATTCTGATAAACTCTAACTCTACACAGCTGTTGGCGTTAAAAAATCCTGAACTGTAAGGCCGTTATTAGTAACAGTGCCAAGAGGAGGTATCTATAAAAACGTGGTCCTGAGAGAACCTGGGAAGCTATGCCTAATTTGCCTCCCTAACCGTATCACAAGAGAAATGAATGGAATTGGAAAAGCACCCCCGTGCACCTGCCCATGAGACTGCAGCATCGGGATGATATCACGTATTGGAGGCTGGAGGTCTCTCACTTCAAAATGAGCTACAACACACCCCATAGTGTCCGAAAACAGCCTCTTGCCTGTGGGAAAACATCTCGAGACGGACATGTGTCCTCCTAGGCTGGGTGAGGTTTTTAAGGCTGGCTAGGTAAATGTTGTAGTTCTACTTCCCCCAGTGGACCATTCCCAAAACAGAAGGAAACGGCCCCTAGACGAAAAGTGGAAGGAAGCCATCCGGTTCAGTTTGATGAACAAGGCAAGACAGATGGAACTCTGACTCCGCATTATGTCCATTCTCCATGCCAGAGATTACCACAGAAGTTAACATGGGGATGGGAAAAAGCTTCCCCCAAATACTCGGGGAGATGCCTCAGTCATGGTGCTACATAAAAACTGTCCTAAACATCAAATTCCTTAGACAAGCTTCATTTCAGGTCAACAGGGAGACCCCCCTTCTTCAGACCCTTTAGCCTATGTGGCATTCTCGATTCCTTAAAGGGAGTGTAGGCACCCAAAGTGTACTCAAAACTCAAGGTCACACTTCCTGAAATGCAAGAAAGCAGCCAAACCGTCATCCATGCAGAGCCTCCAGCCTTCACCACACACGCAGGCTTGGACAGAATCCTTGGCAGCCATTTAAACTCCGGCGGCTCTCCCAGATGTGCACCTAATTTTAGCAGACCATGGCCCCTCCACCCCCCACCATGCTTCCTCCCCATGAGATATCCCAAGCACATCAATGGCTTTGGCAGGAAACTTCCACGGAAGTGAAATGATGCCCCCCCCCCCCCCCCCCCCCGCGCCTGCTGGGAGGCAGGGAAGGAGAGGTGGGAAGCATCCCCCGCCCATGGAAGTTCCTCTCCAAAGTCTGCAAGCTGTCGGTCTGTGTGTGGACGGCCCTGCCCAGCCCCCTGGCCCCAGAAACAGAATCCAGACTCACTGTGGAAGCTGCCGGCGCTGCTAGCCTCTGTCGCTGCCATGACACGCTGATCGGGCCCTTCTGGCATGGCCCTTCCTGACAGTGAATGGAGGAGAGAGCGGGGTAGGGGAAGAGAGAATAAAGGATGAAGGCAGAGGAAGGGAGCACGGAAGGATGAAAGAAGGGAGGATAAGGGGAGTGGGTGTATCTTTAAGTGAATGGCGAGTTTCCTGGCATAGACTCCAGACACCTGTCATGCCACTAGGGGAAAAGGCTGGCAGCATCAGCCCAGCTCCAAGGCCCTCACTCAGGAGTCCAACCGGAGATGCTACCCACAGCTCGGCGGGCACACCATCACACCGCTCTTAATACATGGCACCCAGCTGTCTTCCTTTCGGTCTTCTACCGAGATCCACTGGCTTCCCTCCAAGGGCTCAGTTCTACTTCCCACAAGATGAGCCTCTCGGCCAACTACCACTCTGAAAGGAAGAGGGTTTTATCCAGAATTTTCACCCCCTTAAGTCAAAGAAATAGCACCTCTCCAAAGTTTCAGAGGGAATAGCTGTCCTTCCTGTCTCCAACAGAAAAATCACTGAATTCACCACCACTTTCAGGGCTTCCTTCCCAGATGCCCTTCCCTGCCTGCCCACTTTGGAAAAGGGGTGAGCTAGCCAGATGTCACCTGTGTGGAGCCTCAGCCTTTCTTCTCCTTGGTATCAACAGAGTCAGTGTGTACAGACTCCATTACCACTTGGGAAAAACTCATTCCCCTTAAAAGGCCTCTTGAGAAGTCAGAGGAGTAGGTATGTTAGGCAGCTTTTGAGAAGGGATATGCAACGACTTAGCAATGGCATTTCTCAAGTGCCTCCCAGGTCAAGAGCTGTGTTCAAAAGACAAGAGACAAAGCCCCTGCTCTCAGTCAAACCAGAGGCATAGAAGCATATCAAGGACCCAACAAAGAAGAATATTCATGAAGCAACACATCTCAATAGGGTGATACTGGGGAGACCATCCAGTGAGAACAGTGAAATGGGACCACCGGGTTTGATGGCAGTGAGGAGCAGACAGAGAGAAAGAACAAAGAGAAATACGAAAGAACAAATGGTAAGTCGAGAAGAGAAGACATTATGGGCTGAATGATGTCCCTCCCAGAACTCATTAAGCTGAAGTCCTAGCCCCCAGTCCCTCAAAATGTGACTGCATGTGGGGGCGCCTGGGTGGCTCAGTTGGTTAAGCGGCCGACTTCGGCTCAGGTCATGAGTTCGAGCCCCGTGTCAGGCTCTGTGCAGATAGCTCAGAGCCTGGAGCCTGTTTCAGATTCTGTGTCTCCCTCTCTCTGACCCTCCCCCATTCATGCTCTGTCTCTCTCTGTCTCAAAAATAAAATAAACGTTAAAAAAAATTTTTTTAAAAATATGACTGCATGTGGAGAGGTAAGTAAAATAAAAACAAGGTCATATGGGTGGGTCCTAATCCAATACAACTGATGTCCTTATAAGAATAAGAAATTTGGGGGCACCTGGGTGGCTTAGTTGGGTAAACATCCAACTCTTGCTCTCTCATCTCAGGTCATGATCTCACGGTCCATGAGATTGAGCCCCACATTGAGCCCCAGGCTGATGGTGCAGAGCCTGCTTGGGATTCTCTCTCTCTGCCCCTCCCCTGCTTGCACGCATGCATGCTTTCTCTCTCTCAAAATAAATAAACAAACTTAAAAAAAAAGAATAGGAAATTTGGTCACAGACATTCACAGAGGGAAAAAGATGTAAAGAAAGACACGGAGGAAAAGACAGCAAGTACAAGTCAAGGAGACAAGCCTCAGAAGACACCAACCATGCTGACACCTTGGTCTCAGACCTCCAGAAGCATGATGAAATAAGTTTCTGTTGTTTAAGCCTCCAGTCTGTGGTGCTTTGTTACAGCAGCCCTAGGAAACGTATACAGAAGGTATCAGACATGTTGGAAATGAACAAGCACCACTGTGGAATGAAGGCAGGCTGGCTGGGGTAGAGCTGAGAGGACTTCTTGTGGGAGGGGGCCAGGAAGCAGTTTGGCAGACAGCCTGAGGGCCCTGGGGGCCAGGGTAAGAAATTTATAATTTTGTGAAATGAAGATTCACTCAAATCTCTTAAAGAAGCAGCTGGAATGATGGAAGGTTTGAAGAGTATGGGCAAGGTGACTCTGAATCTGAAGGTACATTTGTTGATCCAAGAGTTGGTCTGGTCATGGAGTGGACTAGGGTGCTTCCTGACAACATACAAAAACAAGTAACACTGAAGTAAAGAGAGAGAAAGATCAGGTAAGGAGTCAGGTATAGATGATGAAGAGGCAGGTTCAAAAATGCCTCCCCTTTGGGAAATGTCCCAAGAGGGTTTTCACTCATGCTAACAGGCTGCTGAGTATCTGTTTGAGAAGCAGGAGGTGGCCATGGTAAGTTTTATCTCCAACAAGCCAAGTTTCAATCACCAGTGAATTCTCCAGGGGAGGTTAACAGCTTAAGCAATCAAAGAGAGAAGAGGTGGAGGCTAAAAATGTAAATTCAACCAGCTTCTGCCTAAAAGCAAAAAGGCATTATAAGCATGTGTGTGTGTGTGTGTGTGTGTGTGTGTGTGTGCGAGGTTTCCCAAAGTAGATGTCTAAAATAGCAGCACCAGAACTTTAAAGGAGAGCAAAAAGAAAAACCAATAGATGAGGTAAAGAATGGCTGGGATAGGGAAGAAATTGTGGAGCCAGGCATCACGAAGGCACTGAACAAGAATGTTAAGTGGTCAGGGAGTGGAGGGTGGAGAAAAGAATGGGGCAGCTATTAATAAATGTCATTCAACAGTTCCAAAAAGGATTAGAATTTTTAGAGGAAAGGCATTTGAATTTTGCCAAGATGAGATAACTAGTGACCCCCAAAACTTACAGTCAATGAAGTGCTGAGATCAGAAGCCCAAAAATTAAGACAGAAGATAAAAGCAACCTATTTCAGTAGTCGAGGAGACACATGCCAGTTGGAAGGGGCAGAAAGGTCAAATGAAGATTTGTCTTTAATGTAGAAGAGATAGACCATGGATTTTGGAGTACAAAGAAGGGAGGAAGTCTTCAAGGTTTCAGAGTGGGACAGACACAGTCCCAGAGAGCAGTGGGCTAGAGAGGGCAGGTGACACGTGGTGAGGTGTGAGGGAGGCGAGAAAGAACACAGACGCGAATTTGTAGATATGGAGAGGGTGAAAATTTCATAGCGTCACAGAAATATATACTTGACACACTTCCTCGTGCATGCATAATAATGGCTCTTTACTTTTCTGCTTTATACCCATCTAAGCACTTTCTATTATAGGGTTGACTCAGGATCTCAGAACTGGGGCAAAAGCAAAACTTTGAGGTCACCTACTGCAACCTCATGTTCAATGCAGGTGTCTCTATAACATGTCTAAAATGTGGTCATCTCGATTTCCTGGAAAATTCCCCAGAAATGAAGAACCCACCGTCTTACTGGGTGGTCTGTTCCATTTCCACATGGTACAGGTAACTGCCTTGGGGCATGGTGCTTCACCAACCTAGAGTTTTCTGGCCCTGCCACATCCGGAGGTAAGGGAACATGTTGCAGCGCCCATTTACCAGGCCAAAATGATGGAAAACAATTCCCCCGATGATCTCTGAATGGGATGAAAACTGGTTTTGTGATTTCTGATTGTCCGAAACTGCGGCACCCTGGAGCACCATCCCAGGTCAGTCATTCACCAAGAGGTACACCTGCCTCCTTGTTTATTTCACTGAGCAGACATTTGCAGAAAGCCTACTGTATATCAGATATGGAGTTTTGTGACTGGAGAATAAGGCATGGGTGTTGCCCTTTCAGAAATCAAAACTACTGTGAACAAGTATGTGTTGACAGATGTTCTCGAGAATACATTTTCACAATAAAAATGTAAAAAAAATCACTTCCTACAACATATTTGAGGTATTAGGGCAGCATTCCTCACCTCTGATGACCATGTCCTCTGCTCCGGGCATTTCTTCCCTACCCTTAAGTTTCACCGAATTTGTGTTACATTTTTGGGACTATGCTTGGCCCAAATCATCTTACTGGTGCTGGTTTTACTACCAAACTGGAGATCCCAAACTCTCTGAATTAGGGTCTCCTTGCTTCTTGCCTCCTCTTCCTTAAATATCTTTGCCACAAAGCCCAACTAGAAAAAAAAATGATGGAGCTGACTTATTACAGGTTCACAGTTCTAACTCTAAAGCCTACCTGACCTCATAGAGACCCTACTGTACTGGTACACTATTGAAAACTTCCTTGCAAAAATGGCCTTGCATTCCTTAAAAAACCTTACCTATGAATCAGAGCACTGAACCCAATCTGCCCTGCCTTATTTTTGTGTGTAATCTGAATAATACTAATTAATCTCTCTGAGCCTCAGTTCACTGGTAGGAATAACAATACTGGCTCAATTGACTTCCAAGTACTTCAGTGATGATCAGAGAGAAGCACTGGATCTGAGATGGGGGACCAATATTCTTGCCTCAACTCTACCACTAAATAGATGCATGAACTTGAGAGACACCTGCTCCCTCTCTGGGGTTCAATGTCCCCATCTGTTAAGTAAGTGGGTTTGACAAGATGACCTCCAAGTTTATTTCTAGCCAGGATTTCACAAGTTTACCAGCATAGATTGCTTACATAAATTTTACCCAGGCATTTATCAAGGACTCTCATGAAATACTTTTGAACAAAGAGGTCAGTATGTGGAGAAGAAGAGTCCAAATGGCAGGAATCATAACCATAGAATAACTATATTCAAAGAATGCTGATAATTGGGTCAACATCTGCTTGGGAGCAAGACTCCAGCAGCAAATCCAAGCCTTGAGCTATTGTACATTCCCCCCCCCCAAAAAAATTAAAAATACACTTAATTTCTGGTACATTGTACATTGATAATAGTTGCAGGTGGCACAGAGCTGGGAGGAAAAGCTATATCTAGACCACAAAGAAACCTTGGTAGAGTGGAATACGGAACCAAATCTAACAAGAAGAAGCCACATTTGCTATACATAAGATCAAAAAAAAAAAAAAAAGCCAGCAACAACAACAAAAACATTTAAGTG